AAAATTGTCAGTGATAAGCTCTGTTAAAGAAAGATAATCTCTGTTAGAAGATATTAAAGAAAGATAATCTGTAACTTTTTAAAAAGAGTTATTACACCCCGGCAGGGTAGCCTAGTAGCTCAAGTCTTAGCCTTGCACGCGCTGGGATCACATACGGGCGCAGATTCAAATCCCAGTAGCCCCACTTCCCATCCAGCACCGTTTGTGGCCTGGGAAAGCAGTCGAGGATGGCCCAAAACCTTGGGATCCTGCACCGCATGGGAGACCAGCAAGAGGCTCCTGGCTTCAAATCAGTGCAGCTCCGGGCATTGTAGCCACTTGGAGAGTGAATCAGTAGACAAAGATCTTCCTCTCTGTCTCTCCTCCCTTCTGTATATCTGACTTTCCAACAAAAATAAATAAATCTTGGGTCCGGCGCAGTAGCTAAAGTCCTCACCTTGAACATGCCAAGATCCCATATGGGCGCCAGTTCTAATGCCAGCAGCCCTACTTCCCATCCAGCTCCCTGCCTGCAGCCTGGGAGAGCAGTCGAGGACGGCCCAAAGCCTTGGGACCCTGCACCTGCGTCGGAGACCCGGAGGAGGTTCCAGGCTCCTGGCTTCAGATAGGCTCAGCTCCAGCTGCTGCAGCCACTTGGGGAGTGAATGATCAGACTATCTCGCCTCCTCTCTGTATATCTGACTTTCCAATAAAAATATTTTAAAAATAGTTATTATATTAAACTTTGTATCTACACAACATACTTTCTAAATCTACTAAAAACTTCAGCAAATCTATCATTTTCTTCCTCTAGGCCTGAGTTAGAATCAGAGAAACAATTGGCTTTATAAACAAGGGTCTTACGGCGGGGATACAGTGATCCTTAAAACAGGATACTTTTCCCAAACCTTCCATTAGCTCCACTGCACATCACAATTTAGGAGAAATGACTCGGTGACAATCAGGCAGCTGCTGGGACTACATGGATTTCGTGTTATGGTTATTACTGTTTTAGACACACAGCCTTTGGACCTCCTTAAAGGAGACATTAGGGATTTTTTGGTTTTGTTTTTCTAAAGACTATTCAAGGGTGAGAATTCTAATCTGGCCTTCACAATTTGATTAGAAGTTGACTGACAAACGGATCCAAGCAAAGGACACTCAGCCTCAGGGCTCCTGCTGGGCCCTCGGAGCCTCGGGTGGCCCAGAGGCCTTAGGCATGAAGCGCAGGGCGCAGGCAGCACTGGCCCCAGTGACGCCTTAAGCATACGGAAATTCAAACAAAAATCCCAGTTTTCAGTTAGGCTTTTCACATTTCCAATTAACAGTCTTGACTGATAAATGTACTGGGTAATCTCCGAGTTACCCACAGCTCTAAAATCACTCAAGTCTAAGTCTAACAAAAGTATTTCGAAGTTTAAAAAAAATCCATAATTGGATAAAATATTTACACTATGTGTAAAAAAAATTATCAAGTGTATTCTATTGAAAGAAAAACTGTACTACAGAATTAGCTAATCCGAATACAATCCTGACCCTGACAATTTCCATTGTGAATCTCATCAGTCCTGCTCCGGGGGCCTCTAAGGACAGACAGAGCATCACCATTCTCCAGTAATTGGACCATAAGGGAGTTATCCTTCATGAATGAAAAGAAAACGATTAATTTTTATGTGAAAGGCAGAGAGAGAGAGACACCAGCCGGTCCATTTCCCAATTGCCCGCAGCAGCTGGGCTGGGCCAGCCTGAACCTACGAGCTCAGTGTCTGAGCGGAAGGCTCGGACGCAACTGTGAGTCACAACCCGCTGACCCCCCGGAGCAGGCATTAGCAGAAAGCTGGAATGTGGGGTGGAACCAAATCCTAAACCTACGCTGTTTAGACAGGGCACGGCAGCGACTTTCTGGCTAGCTAAAAGGCTTGCCCTTATTCCTCTAGTAAATATTTGGAAGTCATGTGTCAACTGGGCACTTACTTCATTAGCTACTGCGAAGACAGGCCTGAGTAAGAGCCCCCTGCTGCCCAGGGGCATACAAACCCACAGGAGAGAAAAAGACTCAAACAGGAAAGTAATTACCTTCTACAATAAGTAAAAGCAATCGTGAGCACGAAGCAGTGACAAAAACAGACCAGGGTGTGTTAGCTCTGAGGTCAGGAGAGGTTCCCCAAAACAATGATGACTGAAACCAAATTTAACAGATAAAGCTGCCAAAATCAACGAGTACAGCAGGCGAACCCTGGGCTGAAGAAATCGGCTACGTATTTTAAAGAGATTAACAAAGAGTTAGTATTACTGTGGCACAAAATAAGATGGCTTGCAGGGAAAGGAAATGTCAAGAGCTATTCTAGGAGTATAAAGAGATCTACTATGTAAAACAAGATGGAATTTACTGTGCAAGCACTGAGAGGCCATTATAAACATCACAAAACAGGAAAAAATGTATTAGCTTTGAAAATAAAATGATTGGGCCCAGCACAGTAGCCTAATGGCTAAAGTCCATGCCTTGCACATGCTGGGATCCCATATGGGCACCGGTTCATATCCCGGCAGCTCCACTTCCCATCCAGCTCCCTGCTTGTGGCCTACAAAAGCAGATGAGGACAGCCCAAACACTTGGGACCCTGGACTCTCGTGGGAGACCCAGAAGAGCTCCTGGCTCCTGGCTTCGGATCAGCCTAGCTCCGGCTGCTGCGGTCACTTGGGAAGTGAACCAGGGAATGGAAGATTTTTCCCTCTGTAAATCCGACTTTTCAATGCAAATAAGTAAATTTTTTTTTAAAGATTTATTTATTTATTTATTGGAAAGTCAGATATACAGAGAGGAGGAAAGACAGAGGAAGATCTTCCGTCCAATGATTCACTCCCCAAGTGACCGCAATAGCCGATGCTATGCCAATCCAAAGCCAGGAGCCAGGAACTTCTTCTGGGTCTCCCACACGAGAGTGCAGGGTCCCAAAGCTTTGGGCCGTCCTCGACTGCTTTCCCAGGCCACAAGCAGGGAGCTGGATGGGAAGTGGAGCTGCAGGGATTAGAAACAGCGCCCATATGGGATCCCAAGGCGTTCAAGGCGAGGACTTTAGCCACTAGGCCATGCCGCCGGGCCCAAATACATAAATCTTTAAAAAAAAAAAAAAAGGAATTTCCTTTTGATTAGGCCTGACATGGTGGCATAGCAAGCTAATCCTCTGTGGTGATGCTATCCCTTACAGACACCAGTTCTAGTCTGGGTTATTTCACTTTCTTTTTTTTTTTTAAGATTTATCTATCACTCTATTTATTTATTTAATTGGAAATGCAGATCAGATTCACAAAGATCTTCCATCCGCTGGAATATTCCCTAAGTGGCCACAACAGCCCGAGCCGGGCTGATCTGAAGCCAGCAGCCAGGAGCTTCTTTTTGAGTTTCCCATGCGGGTGCAGGGTCCCAAGGCTTTGTGCCGTCCTCTGCCGCTTTCCCAGGCCACAGGCAAGGAGCTGGATGGGAAGCTGGCTGCTCCACTTCTGATCCAGCTTCCTGTTTACAGTGTGGGGAAGCAGCAGAGGATGGCTCAGGTCCTTGGGCTCAGCACCCAGGCGGAAGATGCAGAAGAAGCTCCTGGCCGCTGGCTTTGCACCAGTTCGGCTGCAACCCGGCAGCCATTTGGAGAGTGAATCAGTGCACTGGGTAACTCTTTCAAGTAGAATAGATCAATCTCAAAAAAAGAAAATTTCTCTTAGACTTCAGATAAGTATCTACTATTTTAATATATGAATATACAAGCTACATTTATGAAGTTTAAGAAAAAAATCCATTTATTTAGGTGTTTATGCCATTTAGAACAGTCTGCCTAGTGCATCACCCAGTAGGTTACAGTCAGTATTTGATGTCTGGCAAATGAACTCTGGCAGGCAGGAAGCATAACAACAAAGATTTTAAAATACAGAATGGCAAAAAGTACAGAGGTTTAAGATTCATCTCAGGTCTACAGCAAGAATTCCCCCGCCCCTCGACAAGTAGATAACATTTCTCTGAACGGGCTTTTCTCTCCCCGTGACTGTCCTGACTTAGTCAAAGCCTTCTTGCCTCGCCTAAGCATCCCTCTGGTATGCCGCCGGCGAGCAGCGACTTACTCCCGACCAAGTCCCAGGGCAGGGTCGCCCCCGACTGCCAAGCCCAAGCTCCAACACCAACTCCGTAGCAGCTCCAAGCTCTCAGGAGTTCATGAGAGTTCAACTTCGAAAACGCTCAAAACCATTTCCACATCGAACATCACCAAATGTGTCTACCGCACCCCTAGCAGCGCTGGCCACGCCGCGGACACTGGGAGCCTGCCGGCACAGCTCCCCGCTGAATCCCGCAAACCTCGCTCTTTATTGGGGATGACTTAAGACCGGGGGCATTTAACGTGTAGGATCACCGGAGACAGTGCGTGGAATGGTTGCACAAGGGCCCGTGGGACATCAGGACTGGGGACCCCAGGTTCAAAGCTTGAGCCATCGCGTTTAGTTTTGCTCGCTTGCATCACTTTACACGAAACAGTAGGGAAGTAGGATGGATGGGTAAAGGGGGGCGGGGAGGACGACAGCGCCTCACTTCCGACTGCCATGCCACAGCTCGGGAAAGCTAAAGGACCATCTGGCGCTGCCGAAAGACGCAGCACACGGTAGAAGAGACCCCCGGAGCCCGCCCGCCGAGGCCCCTGGGGTTGGTTCTTCAAAGGCAAAGGCACAAAAAAGAAACTACTCTTAGGAAAACAAGAGCGGTTTGCACGTTGAGAACCCACCTGTCAAGAGCGGCGTGGACGGCGCCATCTTGTCCCGGAAAAAGAAATCCCACGCGCCGAGGTGAGAGTTCACAGGGGCCGAACCCAGCCGCTACACGTCTCTCCAAGGCGTGGGGAAGCAGCGTCGGTGTTTCCGGGGCCGGCGGGCTCGGGGCCCGGCGACTTCCGGCTGCCGAAGGCGCAGGCGCAGCGCCGGGCTGGGCCACGGCGGGCGGGCAGGGCGAGGGCCGGCGTGCGGTTCGGCCCTCCTCTCTGGCGGGCGGAGCCTGCTCAGTGCTGACGTTGGCACCCGAACCCGGGGCAGTTGGAGGCGGCGGGCTGCACGGCTCGCTGGTGGCGTTGCGCGTCCTGCCTTCTTCTCTCGGCGCTCCCGTTCCGCGGCGGCCTGCTCGCTTCCTCCCCGCGCCCCCGCCTCGCGCTCGCCGGGTCCCGGCCCCGAGGCCCGAAACCAGCGCCCGGCCCCGCCGGCGCGGCCAGCACAGGCGGAGCGCCCTCGCAGCGGCCTTCCCGGGGCGGCCGGGGCAGGTGCCGGCGCCGCGAAGATGGTCGCCAAACAGCGGATCCGGATGGCTAACGAGAAGCACAGCAAGAACATCACGCAGCGCGGCAACGTCGCCAAGACCTCGGTACGAGAGAAGCGGCGCCCCTTCTGTTCCCGCAGTGGGCCTGGGGGTCCAGCTGTGCCCGGACCCGGCCCGCCCTGGGCTCTGGGGGCTGCGAGCCAGACAATAAGTTGGGCGCGGGGCTGGGGTGGGGGGTGGGCGATCTCTGGCTGGCGTGCGGGCGTGCGGGAGGGCCTGCGATCCGGTGGTCTACGCTGCAGGCTCTGGGACCCCGGGCTGCCAGCACTCTCTGCATCTGAATCAGTGGGGGTTTTTTTGTTTTTGTTTTTTGCCTTTTGCAGAGAAACGCCCCCGAAGAGAAGGCGTCTGTAGGGCCCTGGTTATTGGCGCTCTTCATTTTTGTTGTTTGTGGCTCCGGTGAGTGTTTGCGGGGGCTCCCATCGGGCAGGGGGTGAGGGTGGGCAGCCAGCGAAGGGTTTGGGCTGATGTAACAACCCAGCTAGCCGTCTGTGGCGAGTCCAGCCCTCTGGGTGCGCGACCCACCTGCCGAGACCTCCACATACTGGTGTTTCATGTGAATCAAAGGCTCCAGAAACTTCCAGCTTGATTTATGCCCAGAGGAGATCAGAAAGGAGGTCAGATCTGTGGTGATGATGAAATTGGAAAGCATCCGAGATCAAACAGCACCCCTCAGCTCCTCGTGGAATGAGAATTTAGAATGTTTCGCAGCTCTATTATGAGTGCCTTTCCAGGGAAGCCTGTGGGTCTGAGAACTGGGATTAAACGCCCAGCAGAATGTCCTGTCTTTATTGTCAGCATTGGGTCTATTTTATAAAGTAGAGCAAGTGCAAAGAATTAATTCCCTGCAGAGGAAACACAGCTTTTGAGCGATTTAAACCCGTGAGACAAATGTTTTCCGATAAAGAAATGTTTGACATATGGTAAGCAAGTTCTAGCTGGGCGCTCTGCCGTTAACAGTGATACATGGACGGACCGCAGGATAGCTGCCCCGTCTTCATTTATTGTCTTCGTAGGCAAGCTCTCAGAATTGAAAGAGATACTTCTGCTGTCCACATGCCAAGGTTACAGGGGTTTCTGTTGAACATTCCACTTTGCCTTTCCCCTGAACCTCCCAACTGGAAGCTCTCCTGATCAATGGCCTGGAGCCAAGCAGTTTATGTAACCTCAAAGGATCATTGGATTTCAGCTTTGTGAGGAAGAGGAAACGTGCATATGTTATTGCCAGACCTTAGAAGGATGCTCAGTTATTTCGGGGTAAACCACAGTAATTCCGTGCTAGAAAAACCAGTTTGCTTTGGGTGCTTTAAGTTCTTTATAAATCAAGTGGTTACTGAGGAATGCTGTCAGGGGCTCAGAGAAGCTGAGATCTTTCCAGAGGTAGCATATGGACATTTCACTGTCCTGGCGCATCGGGCTGGTCCCCCTTGTGCAGTGCGTTGCAGTGCACTGCCACCCCCCAGCAGGTGGCTTCGCATCCAGTGAGGACCCGGTTGTTGAAAGCTCATCTTGTTGTTTGCTTTTTCTCTTTGCAGCAATTTTCCAGATTATTCAGAGTATCAGGATGGGCATGTGAAGTGACTGACCTTAAGATGTTTCCATTCTCCTGTGAATTTTAACTTGAACTCATTCCTGATGTTTGATACCCTGGTTAAAAACAGCTCAGTAAAGCATCCTGCCTCCGAATGACTTTCCTATCATCCTTCCTGTGTCATTCCAAGATTTCTTCACAAGTCATTCCAAGTTTTCTAGTCCATACCACAGTGCCTTGCAAAAGCACCACATGAGAAAAGCAATAAAATTTGATTGTTAAGCTACAGTAGTGGACCCTACTTATTCAGTCAGTAAAGAGTTTCTTTTTTTAACATTATTAAGACAATTTGCAGTATGGATAAATTAGATTAAATCTGAGTAGACAGGATCTAAATTTCGTTCACCCTAATATGAACATGAAATTAGCTTAATTTAAAATGTGGACTCCGGTGGTTTTTTCTTCTAACTAGGCACTTTATTACTGTCTCAAATTAAAAGCACACTCCCTTAGAGGGTCTTGTAACTAACTCGTAATAAGGTGCTTCAGTGGAACAACACAACCATGCAGCTTAGTTTGGCCACAACTGTTAGCACCTGAGGTTTTAAAACAGCCTGTAAATACATTGTGTAAAGGGAGATGCTTAAAGCCATGCCATCTATTGTAACAATTTTGTTTCTGTTACACTTCTTTGGATTTTTGTATAACTGAGTCTGGTAACCTAATTCCCGTGGAGCATTTTGTGACTTGGTCACTGCAGTTTCACTGGAAGCTTCTGTGGTCAAATCAGGGAAGGTTGGCTGTGGCACATGATTTCAGAATTATTTGAGTGTTTTAAAGAAATTTACTATCCTAGACAAAACTTTAGGAAGAAAAATACTAAAAATACGAGTGCCTCATCAATACTTGTTCTAAAGCGCTGGAGGCCTCAGCCTGTGAATGGCACTTTTAATACCAAACAAGGCACATCAATTAAGAAGTTACACTTAGTTTGTGAATGACTTTTCCAGGTCTCTGATTGAAATGTCGCTAGGGTATCTAAGTACACATCAGAGTTCTTATTTGGAATTAAATGGATTTATTGATAAGGATCAATCTTTAGTCTTCCCTTAGTTGTATGATTTTATAGGTTGTGATTGGTCAAATTTTCTTCTGATAGTAAGGGTGAGAGTGATAGGGCAAGCCTGGGATCTTGGTACTGGTACTAGCTGCTTATGCACGGGGCCAGTTGTTGGTGAGAAGGCATGAGCAGTGTCTATTAATGAATCAGATGAAAGCTGCTTAGTTTACTTTATTAATTGCCTCAGGACATCTCCTCTAAAATAAGCTGTTTGAAGAGGAACCGAAGGGAAAACTGCTAGCTAATCCAGACACAGTTTGGACCTCAGAGCTTCTGACAGCCTCAGATGTGGAGGAGAGGGCCGCAAGCTTCTGGGCGCACAGGAGCTTACCCACTCTGGCCTAGGAAAGGAATAGCTGAGCGCAGGCCAGCAGGCTCATAACTGAGGTGTTGTCTGTGTTTCCCACCCAGTAAGCCAGTCTCCATACTTGTTTCCCTCGTTGAAACAAGTGATGGGTAACTAATTGTGTTTTATTGTACTTTTGAAAATTAAATGAACTGCTCTAAATCCATAGCAGGTGCCTTATTCGTTACTTGGAAATCCAGTCATTCCCATCAGCATTTCCCTTGGTTTACAATAGATCACTGGCTTTAAGATTTTTTTTTTCCTTGATGTACGTTTTCATTAATCTGTTAAACTGCAGTAGCCAACAATCATTTCACATGTAAAATTGCATTCCGTTTGTACTCCCTGTATGATTTACCAGTTGAGTGCATTTTATATTCAGATTGGATTATGCTTGTGTGGGTAAATGCAAGTTGTGTCTATTTGATTTATCATTTGAAAATAAAGTTCCCTGGATATTTGATGCTTTTCTTCTAAAGGAAAATGATGGGGTTTTTAACTAAGTACACTGTTGGTAACACAAGAGTTTTAAGAATGGCTGTATTATGTTATACTTCAGTTTTAAAAAACAATAGTACCTAGAAGTGCAGATGCAAGGTTTAGGATTGAAAATGGACGCAAGGAAAATATGCAGCAAGCACAATGGGCTAAAATCAGGATTTCCTCATGTTACCTGCACCTGATTCGAAGAACATGCACGGGTGTTTCATCTTCCTTTCCCAGTTGCATTTTACATATAAACTAATGTTGAGCACAATACAGGAATAAATGCTTTCCCGGGGCTGTCTGCATCATCCAGTTATTTGAATTTAGTGCTAACATTTGAAGTTGTCAGTTACTTCATTGTCTCCGTTAGGTTGGATATGATGGTTTGACGTTTTAACAGTGTATACCTTCCTGCTGGGCTGCAGGGTGTTGTAACCTCACCGGGGTCTGTTGACACAGAGGACCACCCTGGGCAGTTGTGTTAGATACTTTGGTTCACAATAGGTTCACCAACAAAACTTTAGTTGTACGTTGCCATGCGGGACGTTTAGAACATCATCTAATTCCCCATTTAGAAAGTGTTCTTATTAAGTTTGCTGTTCCTTGACCTGCCTTTTTAGTTTTGCTTTTTCTGGGATGCTGTATGTGCGAGCCGTCCTATAGAAACAGGCTGTGGCGGCAGAAGGCTCTGTTAGAGCTTCCCGGACACAGACTTGGTTCTGCTCCGAGTGTTTCTGGCTTTCTCTTCAGGTTGAATCAACAGCAACATTTTCTCCTCTGGGAAGAGTAGCCCTGAACAGGAACAGGCTAGAAATGAAGGTGAAGGTAGACAACTGCTTAGATCAGAAAGTAAGCTCATGTTTATGGCAGGAACATAAGGTAGAAAGAACACAGAACGTTTAGCCCAAGCACTGCCATTTACAGATAACCAAACACAAGCCGTGGGCCCATGCACACTGAGTAGCATGCCGAGTATGGAGACGGCCCTCGCACAAGTATCTGTCTGGTAAGGGGTAACAGACAATGGAAGCACGACCACCACGGTAGGGTTTCATAAGGAGAGCCAAACCACCTTAGTGGTCTTTGCTAAGACCCCATTGTGCGTAAAGGAGAAGCTGGGGTTGACGTATACTGGACTCGGGGACTTCACTGTAGAAGCCATGGCGTGATTGCAAAACCTAACGCAGACTTCTGCATTCTTGAGCCCTCTGCTTCCAAGTTTAGAAAGTCTTAACTTTTTTTTCCCACTTGCCAATTCAAAGAAGGAAGAGAGGGATTTGTCCTTTTATGGATGCAATTCATTTTGAAAATGAATTTAAGTGACATTTGCCATTGGTGTTTCCTGTATACGCCACAAAAATGCAAAGACAAGTCAGTTACGTTACCACTGACATTCGAGGACTTTGGTAAAAACAAATTGTTTTTGCTGCAATTCTTTATTTTTATCTGTGATGTTAAAAAATTTTTTTTGTAAAAGATTTTATTGGAAAGGCAGATTTACACAGAAGAGAGACAAAGGTCTTCCATCTGCTGGTTCTCTCCCCAAATGGCCACAAATGCTGAAGCAGAGCCGATCAGAACCGAGAGCTTCCTGGTCTCGCACGCGGGCGCAGCTTCCCACAGTCTGGGGACATTGTCCACTGCTTTCTCAGGCCAAAACCAGGGATGGGAAGTGAAGTTGCCAGGACATGAACTGGTGCTTGCACAGGGATATTAGCCAATTGGGCCTGAAAAATTTCTGTAATAAAAGTAATTTTAAAAAGAATTAGGGGCCCGGCGCGGTGGCGCAGTGGTTCAGGTTCTCGCCTTGTACACCCGGGATCCCATATGGGCGCCGGTTCTAATCCCAGCAGCCCCACTTCCGATCCAACTCCCTGCCTGTGGCCCGGGAAAGCAGTTGAGGAGGACACCAAAGCTTTGGGACCCTGCACCTGCGTGGGAGACCCGGAAGAGGCTCCTGGCTTCGGATCGGCATAGCATCGGCCGTTGCGGCCGCTTGGGGAGTGAATCATTGGACAGAAGATCTTCCTCTCTGTCTCTCCTCTCTGTATATCCGCCTTTCCAATAAAAAAAAAAAAAAAGAATTAGGGCCAGACGCGGTAGCCTAAGGTCCTTGCTTTGCATATGTTGTGATCCCTTATGGACACGGGTTTATATCCCAGCAGCCCTGCCTCCCATCCAGCTCCCCACCTGTGGCCTGGGAAAGGACAGCTCAAAGAACTGGGACCCTGCTCACATAGGGGAAGCCTGGAAGTGACTCCTGGCTTAGGATCGGCTCATCTCTGGTCATTGCGGCCAGTGATCCAACAGATGGGAAATCTGTCTCTACTCTCTGTAAATCTGGCTTTTTAATAAAAATAAGTAAATCTTCAAGAATTTGGCAGTACAAAAAAAAGCAGTCATGATCATCTTTGGTGCAGCTATGAGTCTACATTTAAATCATTAAAGCAGGGCCCGGCACAATAGCTAAATTCCCACCTTGCACCTTGTTGCAGGCAGCCTTACTTGCTACCCTACAACACCAGCCTTAGATTTACCTGAGATGATTGTGTAGAACCACATGAAACTCATTGAGTTATGCAGAGCGGTAAAAATCTGAAGACTTGGGCCTGGTGCAGTTGCATAGTGGTTAAAGTCCTCACCTTGCATGTGCCCGAATCCGATATGGATGCCGGTTCTAATCCTGGCAGCTCCACTTCCCATCAGCTCCCTGCCTGTGGCCCTCGCTCTCAGGCCATCATGTGCTGACTTTGCAGGTGCACTCTCAGGGAGCTGGATCAGAAACACAGTACCCAGGTCTTAAGCCAGCACTCTGTTAGCAAGTGGCAGTTGAAAGTACCATCCCACAGTGCTCACCCCCAGCGTCAACTTTGTTTCACCAGTACAAAGTTTTCCTGCTTTCCCATGGGAGTCATTTTCTGGGATTGATGACTTTGGACCAGTTGGTAGCTACAATGTTGTCATGGTTACCGGTTGTGTTTGATTGTCTCAGCTACACTGTAGATGAGATGGATGCCCTATCCTGTTCTATTTTATTTTCTTCACCTATTTGCGCCACAGACAAAACCAACTTGAAGCTTCACACGCCCAGTGGCACCTCCGCTTACGTTAGTTATATGATGAAGTGGGAAAAATGGAAAAATGCCAATGAATCTTCAAAGTAAGATATATCTTACAAAATCCTCCAACCTTGATATTACAATTATCCCAACTTCTTCTTTTTTTCTTTTTAGAGTTAATTATTTGTTGGGTTTAGTCACAGCATCAGCTGGCAGAAGCTGGCTCTTGGGTCTAATTCTGTCAAGTCAAACCACAGAACCACCTGGAGAGTGCACAATCCGGGAGTGGGAGAAGCCTGGGAGGGAAAGAGTGGGCTCCTCCCTCTTGGGTTAACACTTCCATGGGAGGGCATGAAAACCAGGACAGGGGCTGGGGTGGCTAGACAGACACCCAACAGCATCTGTGTGGGCTGCATAATGGAGTTGGTTAGATGGAACTAAGCTTCAATAACCATTGACATGTATGAGAGCCGAATGGGGTGTGGGACAGACTGGACTACTGCTACACATACTGACAAACCAGGGTAGGGGACAGGCCTGGTGGGGGTTATTGTGGGTCGCTCCAACTAGGCTGCAGCTCCCACTGGTTTATGCAAGGGCCAAGTGTGTGCTGGGCAGAACCAAGCTGGACTGCAACACCCATTGGTTTCAGTGAAAGTCGGGAGTGAAAACAGAACCAACCCAGCAATTGCAACCACCAGCTGATGGACTGTGCTGGGCCCTGTACTTGCTAGTACATACAAGAATCTGGTCTGAGAACACCTCAGACAAAGTTTCTTTGGGAATCTCCCCACTTGAAATGCTGGACTCAGAACCCTAACCAAGAAAAGAGGGAGGACAGAACAAGCCAATCAACCATCTCAGCTATATGTTGGCAGCGAAACACGGGGCAAACAGAGACTCTATGATGGACTATGTCAATCAGTGGATTCTTCAAAGACCTCATAGTGCTTGGAGTGGCGAGATTGGCAGCGATTCATAACTGGTGAACCATCAAAACCATCTGAGCAAGAACCTCAGAGCATGCCCTACATCCAGGACCTGGGGAGGGTGGGAAATTGGGTGGGCCTTCTCCCTTAATACCCCCTTTTAAACATGAAGGAAACAATATGGAAATAATAGTCTTACCCACTTTCCTATGGCCCTTGAACCTTTTTTACCCTAATTAACTATGTAAAGATTGTCAAAAATATAATTTTTTTTAAAAAGTTAATTATTTGAAAGAGTTTTAGAGAGATGGAGAAACACACAGAGCTCTTGCACTGCTTAGTTCACTCCCCACGTGACTACAATGGCTAGAGCTGGGCCGGTCAGGAACCAGGAGCTTCTCTTCCTGGTCTCCCGTAAGGGTGCAGGGCCCAAGGACTTGAGCCATCCTCTGCTGCTTTCCAGAGAGCCAGATGAGAAGTGGAGAATCCAGGACTCAAACTGGCGCTCAAATGGGATGTAGTCACAGCAGGCAGAGGCTAACTTATGGCGGGGCGCTGCCCCTTTCCCCAACTATCTAAATCAGGTGACCTCTGGTTGGTATCTGGGCTCAACACTGGATCTCCCCTCTGCGAACAAGCCCAGCCAGGAGAGGTTTCATATATAGAAATGCATGTGTCGTTCCTCAGCCCTATCTGAGAACCATTCACAGTGAGTGCTGTTGAGAAAACCAGAAAGTGTTTTATCACAGAAAGCTGACACCTTGCCACACCAGTCAGTCCAGTTACAAGGACAGAGTCAAGTAGCCATGCTTGTTGACAGGAGGTGCCTGTAGGCAGTGAGGTGCCCTAGGCCCCGGCCCAGGGGGTGGAGGTGCGTGAGTGCCACCCAGGTGCACCCTGTTGCATGCTAGACTGACGTAAGACTGATGTCCATGCTGACCCTGAGAAGAGCTCTCTTGTTCCCACAAAGGAATCCCTCATGAGCAAAT